TGGGTACCGAAAAGGACTGGCGACGATGCTGTGTTAGTGAAGGATTACGGAGAAGAGTAACAGCTAGAAGCCAGCGATTGACAGCCTTCTGTGACACGCGTGGATGGCGAATTTCGCGTGTAAATCCTGTTTTTAAAGTTACAAAGACACTCTGTAAGTAAACGCAACTATTAAAGTGGATTTGAGTAAGTCCAAACTGCGTGGACTCCCTCAGAGCCGGAGCTCAGGCACTGTCCCGTGCGGCTAATTGATATTCATAAAATGACATACCAGTGACTTGTTCTGGCTCCCCAGCATTGTGTGGCTGCGCAGAGTGGTTGGAATGCTCTGTGATGGAGAGATTTTTGAGTTATTTAGTTAAATATAGCAATTGTTAGTTATTAGTATAATTTCTCATGGGATTACAGAGATGCACGCGTTCTGATTGGTCGCTATAATTACTTCGCAGGAGGTTATTAAAACAGGGACGTTAAATTTCATGTTGGCTGCCTCGCGTTTTAACAATGTTTCCGAGGAAGTGAAGAACGAGATGGAAGAAAATTCCAAAAGCCCAAAGGGTGTTAGTTAGGGGGAACACTTTTCAAAAGAGAGATATTAACTTTTTGCTGATTGAATTAAATAAACCTGCCACAGCTGCTTACCTGCTTACCTATGTAGATACAAGTAACCAATACAATCGTAACAGGATATGCACAATGCTGTTTTTTTTTTTTTTCATTTACAAAATTTAAAATATAACTCGAAAGCACCTCAGCAATTATGATAATTAATAAAAACAGTTACTCGCCTCAGCTTCGGCGAGCATTGTTGAATAATATTCATTTTGCCAACGGCGAATAATTGTTATTAGTATAATTACTCAGATGATTATAGAAATTCTCGCGCTCTTATTGGCCTAGAATGGCGTTATATTCCGCTATAATCACCTCCGGCGAGGTGATTATAGCGGGAGGACACAATTTTAAAAATGGCCGCCTCGCGCTTTGTCGATGTGTCTGGAGAGGAAATTAATTTA